ATTGATGGTGTAGGATATATGCAAACACGTAAGTGTAGGAGAGTTGCAAAAGAAAGCAGTTTGTGGTCCAAAAAAGAATTACCACTAAAAAGGCGGAAATATAACAAATAAGAAAGATTAGGATAATTCAACAAGTTGAAAAAGGAAAACAGAAGAAAAGCAAACAAATAAGATTTACCTGCAACCTCTCCAGCTTGGCCATGGCTCTTTGCTTATTCGCAAGTTGCTCAAACTCTCCTTTTTCGTGAAAGTTGAACATCTTCCTTTTCCTTTCAGACGGACGTGCGCTGATCCTGGGATCCATAAATTCCAGAAACTCCTCCTCCTGATGCTGAGAGGAGAAAAATTAACTCAACAAAAAACATGACGAAAAACAAATTTCTCACCACATCTTCTTCTCGCTCTTTGAGGAGTCCAGGAGGCATCTCAGGGAGAGGAGCCATAACCGGTGCATTCGGTCGAACTAACGAGTTTATAGTCGAAGTCGCTTTAGCGAGTTTAGCCTAAAATGGCTTCTGTATGCTATGCTCTTGGGATAGAAAATTAAAATTACCTTGAGTTCTTCTACTCGATTCTTCTTATTCATAGATGCCTGTATGAACATTTGGGCTTCTTGAGGTCTCAGAGCGACATTTTTGGCCATTATAGGTGGGACAGCGGTCGCTCCAGACAACTCTGATACTCCTGCTGCAAAGCCCAATTGGCGTTTCCTCTCTTCAATCTCTTGCTGCGCCTTATACATGAGCTCCTTCGCCCTATATCAACTTTTAAGACCACTGGGTAAGTTTACAGCAAACTGTGTGCATACCTTAACGTTTCTTCAGTCACAACAACATTTCTTTTCGCTTCTTCTTCTTCTAATTTCTTTTGGTATAACTCTTTCGCCAGATTTTTCAGCTTCTCTTTCTCCTTTTCCTGAAATTTGGTATTTATGATACATAAAAGTGCATTATTCCAAGATCTTACAAAACCTACCTTTTCAAGCTCCTTCTTATTGACTACATCGTCACGCCGTCGACGTTCTTTGTCCCTCTCATTGTCTTTGGCTCTTTCCTTGTCCCTTCTAGCTCTCTCACGTGAATGTGATCTATCCCTTTCTCTTTTAACTCTTTTTGAATCATCCTTATTTTCCTCGAACTAAAAAGGTTTGTGAAAAGAAAACGAAGATTAAGGCTGATTAAGTTTTTGTAACGATAAGGAATCACAATCGGAGACTTGCCAACGAAAACATATTTTGGAAGAGAATCCAAAAAAAAA